ACACTTATTTAATATTGAGGGTTCACCTTTTATCAATCAAGAAGGGTGCCAAGACCACCTCAGACAATGTCCCAGATTGTGCCATGAGGGGTGAAGAGGATCTGTGTCCTGAGCCGCTTCCCCATAGTTCATGTTATCTTGTATAACGATGTTGAATGACCAACAGGTTAAATCCATCAGTTGTTAAATTTATATCAGATTCAAGTTGCAAGCATTAATCTGAGCTAAATATGCAGGCCCGTGATCTCAGATCTCGATTTGAGAACACAATAATACTGTCAAACGGCCTCAAATTACCTGGTAATCCTTCTTTCCGATCATTATCATCAGACCAAAGCATACACTGCTCTGTATAGATGACAGTATGGCGCTACTGTAAAACTACTTAGGGCATCGGCTATCATCTACTGGAACCAGCTAAGCTACACTCCTACCTACCCACCGAGGGTATATCTGTCCATGAAGAAAACCCCCATCAAAAGTAGTGTTTCCCAATAGGCAAGTCAACCTGGAGGCTCTCATCACCCACAGAATATGCCCGTCAACCTGGAGGCTCTCATCACCCACAGAATATGCCCGTCAACCTGGAGGCTCTCATCACCCACAGAATATGCCCATCAACCTGGAGGCTCTCATCACCCACACAATATACCCGTCCTGGATATCCACGGCCTAGCTTTAACCGAGCTCAACCACACTCGATGGAAGCGGGTTTATAGTATATCACCTGGTGTCCACGACTACTTAAACAAAACTCCGCCTCCAGCGGAGGCCAAATTCAATCTTGGTATTATAAAATAGAAACCGGTAGCCCAACCATACCCATGCTAACCTGACCCCTAATCTAATCCATACTACACTCTACCATACAGGTATCGAAACATTCCGTTGGTTTCAATCTAATTAATATCATCTCAAACCAAGAAGAAGGGGGAAGAAAGATAACCACATCCATCCGACTCTCCCTTCTTCCCTTCCATTTACCCCGGTATAGGGCCGTAAGATTCTGTGGGCCCGTTAATCCCTCCTCTTCAACCTGGGTAAGGAACTCCGAGTGTGGATGGTGAAAGAGTGTGTATTGATTTTTTTTGATAGTTTTATTATGATCGAGAATGAGCTAGGTTGTTATTGAGTAGCTACCCACCATGTGCCTTGGGTGCGTTCTTTGTTGCCAATGTTGGGACACGTACTATTAGCGTATCCCCTATTGCGGCGAGTTAATCTGGATTATATCTGGCCTTTCAAGCTCAGAAACATGGCCTTGGGGGACAGGGACCATAACCTCCTGGTATGGTCAAGTCTTTACAGACCACTATGTCCTGACGGTGAGCATTCCTGTACATTGAGGGATGGAAAGATGTGGGGCATTGCGCCGAGTCACGCACCATGGTTTCCAGAAAAGAATCCGCGAGAAGTCACCTGGCACACGAACATTCACCGCTAGCAGACCCTATATTGGATCTAAGGTGGAGAGAGAGATGTCTTACCAGATGAGTGCGAAGTATATCCGGATGTCCCAGCAAAGATGATATCATTCGAGCCCCTCCCGTTAGATTGAACAAGGTGGTAACTCTTAATGTCATGAACGAGACCCTGGAAGTAGATATTCTGGAGAAGATTCTCGCGAGTATATCAGAAATGTAGGTTGTGGCGATGATGCCGGAAATCCCATCCAATATTATCCCCTACTAGGTAAACCTAGGGGCATATAGTGGTGGCCACGATCAAATCGTGTTTGAGTTGTGCTCGACTATAGGATGCGCGACCATCCCAACCACAGCGGTCACTCGACCACCGCGCTGTCGAGCATGATCTAGGATAGTGGATGATGGACTATCCTACATCATTCCCAATCGCTACTCATGATCGATCACTCGATCGGGTTGTGGACCATTGTATTGATAAGTCCTATCATGCAAAAACAGAGCCGGTAATAACAGGCCATGGAGGGCCTGCTCCATAGGGTCAGGTTTGTTGGAAGGATCTCGGACGGCGGCGAAGAGAGTGGGGGAGGTGGTGGTTGATTGGTAGCCGTAGGGGTTGTGCCCCACATGCCTCAACGTGTCCCTTAATTGCCGCCGAGTCTCAATATGGGAAAGAAACAGATCATGCTTTTCGACCCGGGGTATTGTCCCGCTTGTTCTATTGAGGGAACCTGGGTCCGGGATATATGTGCCCCACGGAGATTCCCCTAGCGCTGCGATCCTGGAACCTTGATCTGCCAGTGAATGTCGCTCTGTCGAAGTACCCTGAGTCGCCAACACCATAATATCGTATATTGAGGTAACAAGAGTCCAGGATACATTGGACCCTCAAAGGAAGATCCAAGGTGGGGGGCAGTCCTTTGGGCGGCGCCAGTGAACCCTTCGATCTTCCCTGGGGGTGCAGTGGCCTAGGTGGCACCTTGTACATGCTGAGACGGATCGGTGGGGAAAGCTAGCTGATGACCACTACCCTTGCCGAGGGGAACAAGACCGGTGACCTAGGAGAGGTCTACAAGGTTAATCTTCAACATTCAAAACTAGACTAGTGTAATACATGCCCTGGAAGTTGTTGTTATGAGGTGCCGATTGTGAGAGATAGGTGTGCGCGAGACGGAAGGAGGGAGATTCAAAGAAGGAAACCGCTGTATATTTTGCTGATTTCTAACCTGCTTATTTTCTATCTATCATGCTAAGCTAATTTTATTCCTCCTCGTCTTCACCACTATCCCCCCAAGGCCCCTCTCCACCATCGTCATCCTCCTCAGCCTCACCCTCCTGCTCCGTATTCTGTTTATCCGCCTCCCCTGCCATCACACGAAGAATATTAACCACCAGCGTTATGTCGGAGGCCTGGACAGTAGCACGGGAGGCATGGGCAGCCCCCAGTCCAGCAGCTATGAAAAGTATATTAGCAAATAATATCTTAGTTACATCAAAGATAAACTTACCAGCCATAATGAGCACCATATATTCCTCTGTCGCAGCCTGAGCGGCTTCAATGGCAGACCCCTGCAAGCGAAGTCGCTGATCTAACGGTAAGTCAGAGACAATTTCCCGGCAGAGACGGTTGAATGGGGCCTTGGGGATAAGGTATCCCCCATCCTTCTGGTATTTGATAATCTCTGCATCAGCCACCCTACCAGGTGGGTATCTCGCAGCTTTTTTCACACCATCTACAACCGGTCCGGCCTTCTTCCGACCAAGATTGCTCGTTGGAGGCCCCCAATTTCCTCCCCCCTTACCCCCCAATCCGATGGGCTTAGACATGCCGAAAGATTGCTTCGATTGTTGGGGGAGAGGTGGTTTCTGCGTCGACGATGGCCTGGCGAGCCGTGGATTTATGGCGAGTGATAAGATGTGGAGTCTCCCTGGAGTGATATGTGCCCTTGTAACTTATATGTATGTGGTATGTGTATCTGGGGGTATACTTAGGTATCGGTATATATATAGGTGTATCTGATGGGAGAAAGAAGATGGCTCTGTGATAAAAATGGTAGGATTTGGCCATCTATTTATGTGTCACAGAAACTCGCCATATTAGCATTTCATTTTTCCAACTTTTCAAACCCCGTTTTCTCTGCCTATCATGATATCCGATACACAAAATCGGGCTGGCTCAGAGTATCGTAGTATCCAAGTGGTGAGAGATACTATGCTTCCATCTCGAATTTGGTGGTGAAGACCTGTATAGTGTTTTGTTTACTTGTAGATTAATTACCTCATATGATACATGAACCGCTGTAGGCATTCGTGAATAGATCCAGAACTTAGAAGGGGAGAACTTGAAACTGTATATCTACAACACAAGAAAAATTCAAGACCGCCAGTGTTCGCAAGGGACCGGTCCGGACTGTAGATATCTACAGGCTTTCAGATATCTGCGGGCATCTTCTAACATCTGCAGGCACCTTCAGATATCAGTGGTGCACAGACACAACATTTACTGGTCAGGTGGCATATGCCAGAAGCCTACCGGTGCCCCCAGGCATCCATGTAGCCTATAGGCTTCACCAAAGCCTGGCCTACAAAGCCCAGGGCAGTTTCACTTTGACCTGGCCGGGCCGGACTATGCATCTGCAGGCTATCTGCAGGCTGGCCTGGCCGCCTGCGAACGCTGAAGACCGCAGGTAACTGCAGTGTGTATGTTGTCAGAATAAAGGGAACAAGCTGTAGAAGCTGAAATACCCTCTATCTAAGATACCCTACTAAAAGAGAACAAAAAGTCATTTTAATTGTCACAACTGCTACGGTGGCTATTGCAAGAGAGGAGTGCACGTGGTACTTACTACTACTCATATCTTATGTTTCCCTTGCTGTTCCGCGTTTTATATTCGTACAGGCGAAAGGACTTTCGATACTCCGTTTCCAAGGATACCCGCCGGGAAGTTACGTACAGGCAATCAAATCCCCCAGAGGGCCTGGGGATAAATATCGGAGCATGTGGGGATTTATTGTAGGCACCAAAGGAGTGGTGTAGGCTATCATATTCCTCATTGTAAGGGAAACCGGGTGACCCAGTGTACAGGTGTCTAACGCAGACACCGTTGGTATTTCTGGTGCGATTACAATCCTCAGAAGCGACGAAAGCGTTGAATAGAGTCCCTAGGTGCTCATCAAAGGTACCCTTGGTGTTTGGGATATCAACTCGTACATTCGTCCTGGCTATAAAGCCAGTCTACATTAAGTATTTAATCAACCAACCTGCCAGACCGCACCCAAGACTAGTGAGTAGCATGGAAAGAATAGCGGAAGGATATACCAGTAGCAACACAGTCAGTAAATGGAACTTCATAAGACAACCAAATCTCGCAAACAAAGCGATAATGGCTCCTTCCATGGTGAATATCAGGTATGGCAAAGCAAATGGTGGGTCAAAGGAGGTGGTTAAGCTATTTCTTGGGCATCGTAGAAGCAAGGTGAATTTAAGTGTCAAATGTCATCCTCACAGTTATTTGTGCGTGCCGATAACTTGTCAGGGAACTAGGAGTGAGGAGACTTTGGGAGTATGAATCACAATGATAGGGAACCACTGTTTTTGACGTTCGCCAACCCCAATTGTCTCCAAGCTCGCTAACATTGCACTAGTAAGGCTAGTTAAAGTTACTGACTTCAAATTGAAGTCTAAAATGGCATTGAAAATGGGAGTATACTAGTGGGGATGGCCACAGGGGTATGGCCCGGCCACCGCCATAGTTAGACTTGGGGGCTCACGATTGGAACGGGTGCCTGGAGGCGCATTTTGTGCCTTCTGTTGACCAGTTCCAACCTCCTGGCAATCATACACCTTACTCGCTCCAGTGTACATCTAATCCTATCCGATAACCCTCTCCGACTATTAGTATGCCATACGGTGCAAAGTGCGAAAAGACCAGCCCCCCGGCGAAACAGCAATCCCGCGGCAACGGACCAGCACCGACCGGGCCTGGGCCAAGGAATGCCCAAGACACGATGAATAACGTCATTCCCGGGGAAGTGGCTCATCACCGGGATGCGGCTCACCCATGGCAACCAGTAGAAAACCAAATACATCTGGAATTATCTCTATGGATAATTATGAGATCATCTCAAAAGATTATCAGTAAGTGCTTTGGAATATGGAGAATTCAAAGATGCAATTTTTTTTTTCATAATTATAAATTCATCCTCCTGGGTAGGGTTTTTAAGATGGTGTCCCAGAAACAAAACTGTTGGTACTTTTTAGTCAATAAAAATTGAAAAACATATCAGAAACATCTCTATGAAACAATCCAGAGACTGAATAAGTCTTACAAGCTTATAGCCAATAGTTCTCTAAGATATTTATTACTAATTTGTAATATTTTACTGCCTGGTAGAAACCAATAAAAAATGAGTGAATTATATACAAATTTAGTATATTTAAGGATAGTATAACATGTTACTGTAATAACCTATAACTTAGACTTTTTGCATCCAACTTTATAGTTGCCATTTGAGTAAGTACAGTCAATTTGAAGTTTGCCAGGTATGTTTTCCATATTCTGCACCTTCATGATTAAAATGAGCTTTAAATAGTAAGTAAATAATTATAAAATTATAGGATTACGAAAATGAAATTGTTACACTATCTAAATACTTACTAATAGTCTTCTATAGATTTAGTGAGTATGCTAGCTAATCTATATCAATATTTAATTAGAATAATATGATTATATTAATCATTATAAGAGTTATCTAGAATAATTATAGTATTTTAATTGTACTATAATCCAATAGGGAACTAGTATTTAATCAAACTCTTAGGATTATATCTGAATCTCCTAATCAGAGTGCATATAATAGTAAAATTTCAAGCTGTCCTGATTATTGGTACTAATTATTTAGATAGATAATAAAGACATCTAGTTCTTAATCTACTATTCTATGACTAATTATAATACAAGCATATAATATGAAATACCTGTCCCTGCATTTTGAAAACTGGGGTTCTTGTATTAATAGAAAATGTCAAGTAGATTTTAAAAGGTCAAAGTTATAGGTAATCATAGGCATAAGTTATACTAGTATCAAATACTCCAAATTTGTACGTAATTTACTTTCTTTTGGGATCTGCTAGATATTATAACATTGAAAAAAAAAAATAAAGCAATAGTAATAACTATTCACTATAAGACTATATAACTTATTCAATCTCTTGAATCACCTATGAAAGTACTTCTAACATATTGTCTGAATTTTGTTTGCAAGAAAATCATAGCAAATTCATTCAAAGAAAACAATTGTAAAAACAGTGTACAAGAAGAAAAATTCATAATTATGAAATACAATCCACATATTCCAATTCTCCATATTCTAAAGTACTTACTGATAAGATTTCATAGTGGTCACATAATTATTTGTAGATATAATCAAAGATGTATTTTATTTTCTACTGGTTGCCATGGGTGAGATACATCCTGGTGATGAGCTACTTCCTCGGGAATGACATTAATATAAATTATATGCCAAGAGAAACTAGGAAGATAGAGGATGAAGCAGAAATAGATTTACAACTCTTCTACATTGCATATTTCTATGGACTATAAATTGGAATAGCATTTGTTGCTTTATTTTCTGTAGTCATTATGCTTGTCCTTGATTACTACTATGTTTTAATCATTCCTACTATACATTATTTTTCAGTCTGCTACCAGGTAGATTCCATCCCTTGTTTCACTCTGACCAAAAATTTCACTTGTTGATCCCAAACTACTTTTGCATGCAATCTTTACCAAAAGAGGAAAAAACCCATGGGCCTCTTCTGGTTTCGAGTGGCTTCATCTCTGTGGTTTTTATTTTGTAAAATTTGCTTTTACAATTAACTAGTTCAAGATCGGGCTTGGCCTATTTTGAGGAGCCACTTTTTGTCGCTTTGTACCATGCCAATTGATCTTCTCTACTTCTGCGAACACAAAAAGGCAGTTATGGGTCTAAATCGCAAATTGATCAAATTCTCCTTTAGCTTGACTCTGCTGCCAAGCTGCACAGACCTCGGAGGAGTCGTGAGAGCCCGCGGAGCTTGAACTTTTGTCACAACAGAATCCAGTCGGCAAATGATTCCATCCGAGCCATTTATACTTGGCAGTTTCCTTTGAATAATTCACTTGGTCAAACTATTAATCGCTCAACACGTGGCGATAATGAAAACTGCCAATACACAGGCACCGTTATTGCCTTGAATATGTACCTGCAGTAGTTGCCGGTTGATATCCGGCAAATAGACCTTACTGGTCTGTGTTGAAAATACGGTTGAATTGGTGAAGGTTTTACAGAACCGAGGGGAGTAAATGCCTAAAGAGAGAAAATTATTTTTCTTGTGTACAGAGAGTGGAGTCAAGAGAAAGAGAGAAAGAAAGAGGTAGGCTTCTTGACAATGCAGAATGGAGCAAACAGCAAGGGAGAACTGAAAGAAAATTAGGTGTATTGGTTTGTCAGGTAAGAGAAGAAAAAGAACAGGAGAAAACAAACTTCCGGTAGCAACGCACAATGAAGACATGAGAGATGTGTAAGCACTTACATATACACATGAATGCTGATGGCTCCCATACGAAAACATTCAACAGTGAGCTTGAAATACCTAAGGCCCTGTTTGGTTGCGCTGGGCCCATTTCGTTGTCACATACAAATGACCGTTCGCTGTCCATTCCAAAATGGGAGAACAGAATGCCTGTTTGACAATGGTAAAAGGCAGCAACCGTTCCATTTCAAAATACCCCTAACCCAACAATTACACTGTCACCGCATTACATCTATGTATTGATAATAATAAAATATTTCCAACATGTATCCCTCAATTCTTATCATTATTTTCACCAATTCAATGAGCTTTCAGGCCAATAATAACTCCCTTCATGCACTGATTGTTCAGCGACAAATCCAAATTGCAATTTCAGCTGCAATCTATGTCAACATC